TGAGAGTGACACGACTCAGTAGTAATAATTACAGGAAGTTTATATATAAGCGTGTGTGCCCTGGGCATCGGTGGTTTGCTTATGATAGATCTAGCAATAATATGAATTGGGTAAAGTTGATAGTTGCTATGCTGTTTGAAGTAATTTAACTCGCTAATCAGGCTCAAGTGTGGTTCGTCAGCCAGTGATTCTACATGGCAAGACATCTCTGCATTACAAGAAGTGCCACTATGACGCCAACCTATGTCTACTGAGCTAATTTCTTCTCCTCTTGATAGCAATGAGAAGCTGTAGTAATGGATTTGCCATAGAATAAAGTGGTCACATTCTTAGTTGGGTTGGAGACATGGTTGGCAGTTTTTATCTGGCTTATGTTTGCACAAATATGGGATGTGTTTAATAAACATGTGCGACAGACTGTCCCCTTTTTATTCCAAAGAGGGGGACAACACTAGTGTTTTGGGTTGAGAAGAGTTAACACCCTCACCAGCTGTTTGGCCAACGCTGGCAGTGATGAGGCGAATAAAAATTATTGGCGCTTGGTGATGCCCATGGCTCATTATTCCGCCTACTGATTGAAGGCACTAGTTGTGCCTTTACATGGGTTTCATTGTGTACCGCTACAATATGCATTAATTCCCAGAATACTTAAGCCACATGTTCTATCAAAGCTTGTTCGTATGACATACTCTGACGACCCTGAGTGGTTGGTAGCTGAGATCTGAGTACTATCCCATGTAACATTCAGAGTGGTGATGATGCTAAACCACTTATGAGTTCGGGGTATAAATGGACTTGGTATGTTATGCAGGTGTGTACTGATATAATTTTCCGTGGAGAGTTTGTACTTATTTCTGCTATTAATGAGATTGTTAGCATAACTTCCTTCCTTATTTCCCTTCCTGCGTGGATTATTCTGATTTCGCCAATGTAGGGCGTTTTGTTCCATTATGGGTAAATTTTTATTTTGATAGAGTCTCACAGTGTTATACAGTAATCGTGTGAGTTTGTTGATAAGCTTCCTGGTAGGAAGACCATAAGTATCATTGATATAAGAATAAAACTTGGGCACTGTGGTAGAGTGTAATTCCATTATGGGTAAATTTTTATTTTGATAGAGTCTCACAGTGTTATACAGTAATCGTGTGAGTTTGTTGATAAGCTTCCTGGTAGGAAGACCATAAGTATCATTGATATAAGAATAAAACTTGGGCACTGTGGTAGAGTGTAATTCCATTATGGGTAAATTTTTATTTTGATAGAGTCTCACAGTGTTATACAGTAATACAGTGTTATACAGTTATATACTGTATAACACTGTGAGACTCTATCAAAATAAAAATTTACCCATAATGGAATTACACTCTACCACAGTGCCCAAGTTTTATTCTTATAGGGCGTTTTGTGTTACGAGTGGCGTGTTTCAGCAGGATCTTTTATCTAATTGGTCTTTAACTCTGGCGTTATGGCTATAACTTTATGGTTATATCCTTACTTTGACTGGTAATATCCTGTAGAGTTGTAGAGTCAGACCTGAACCCTGAAGCTGAGACTTTCTCCTTCTGCGTTGATTGAGGCATCGTCTGTAGCGCACCACTCAACAATGACTTGTCAACTGCAACTACATTCTTCTTCACTGAGGCAGCATCTCCGCTATGTCCTGCGAGAAGTTGAACACCACATCCAGTTTACTGGACTTTTTGGGTTGATAACTGGGCGATGAGGTGTATATCAACTTCCTGGTTCGCCCTGATTTATCACTCTAAGTAGCATTTCGTTACATGTTCATCAATGACATACTTATACCTATTCCACGGGTTCGAATCCAGGACAAACTTGCTTCTTAGACTCATAAGCCACTTAAAAGCAACATCGTGGTTACAATTCAATCGGTCGTCATTATGTTTTGCACTACACCTATAGTGAATTGTCCGTTCTCGAACACAAAAGAGCTTCTCCCTTGCTACAAAACGTGAGGTATCTGGGCTACTATCACCAAGAAAATCCCTGTTATACGTGTCGTAAATCATAATCTATACGTCTGCATCATCATTTTGACTAGAAGTGATACATGGGCTCTCATTACGTGGCCCCTCACTGTCCACCCAAGTGGCGTCTTCATTGCATGCCGATCTTTTTTTATCTTTGCATCTCCCTTCTACCACCTTATGTGCTTCTGGTAAAATGAACCGAACAAGTAGTCTCACTTTATGTTGGTGCATTATGCGCAACGGTATATCATGCAGTTGGGGTTTTCTGACGACCTTCCCACGTTCAGATATCACGACTTCATTTAGGAAGCATTATGCGTATTTCGTACCTGTATACTCACTTCAGTTGTTGAGGATTCCAAGCAAAGTGATATTCATTCACTAGGAAGGGTATTAAAAGAGTCAACAGTGTTCAGCATTAAAGATTGTTTAGGTTCTTTGATTTAACTCTTTTCAAAGAGGAAGTTTTAAGAAATTTGGCACATTCATATAGTGGCTGTGAATTATCATAAGTGATACATTTTTGTGGTTTTAAAGTGCTCTGTAGGCCTTTCATCACAAATCATTTCCACGTACGAATATATCAGTATTGAGGTTTGGGATGCCAGCTAATTTGCTGATTGTTTGGCCACAAAATATCATCACACTTAGGTTCAACATCATCTTCCTCCAAGTGGGCACTGACTATAAGTCACTTTCTTCATAATCGAGTAGGTAGATATCTGGGGATCATCTCAGTGACAAAACTCGAATCCAAATCATTCATGCAATTGGGAGATATTCAGATATTTTTATGGATCATCAAGTTATCCAGAAATAAAGTGAGATCCACGGAGTAATCTATTAATCATAACCTCTGACAGTGTGAAATACTCTTTTAGAAATCATGGGTGGCCTTTCAAATCTCTGACGTAATATTCTGATTCCCTCCATGTAACCCTCCTTGAGAGGCAAGAACACAGAACTGTATCGCACTAGCAGCAGGACCAGTACAATGCCTCAATAAATAGACCAACCTTATTTCATCATTTAGTCTGTTATCAGTCAGCATAACTTTTATCTCCCATAAAAACACCGTCGCTCAAATTTAGGAAAGTTAAAGGATATTCCATGAAGCATGTCACTGTCACCACTTACCCTAGCGCTTGCGACCAAACTGCCTTTTCCTTTCCTTGACTCAGGCGTTATACAGCATCACCTAGATGAGAACCAGAAGGCATATACCAAACAGTGATTGTTCAATGAAACAGAATTGAGGGTGGTCAATGGAGTAACCAGAGTGCTAGTAATTTCCAGGTAAATGAATCCAGGGGAACCAAAAGAAACCACCGGTAGCTGCAGAACAAGAAGAACGTTGAGCGAACAAATCCAGAAGAAAATAGACAAGGAAATACCATCAGTCCCAATGAAACAGCAACTCAAAAACCGTAGAGCATGAGAAAATCCGAAACTCTTAGCACCGGTATCAGGAAAATTTTCCGTAGAAGCAACACAAATTTCCGGGACTCAGAATACTATTTTATGCGTATGATGGCCAACTCGATTTCAACTCAAACGGCATTGAGAGACAGACGATGAGCCGAAGATTTATTGATATAGAAAGTTAATTACACAGCAGTTCGACTTTGTGATTCACAGCTGGCTACTATAAATACACTCTAAAAGTATACAGATAACTTCAGTATAATATACATTAATTATTCTGATCGTATTGCTCCGGTTTTCTGTGGACGCGCAAACATCTGAGCCATAGCAAAGACTGTTGCCTCCAAAGAACAGGAAACTCGTTGGAATAAACAAGTTCACTGAACACTCACTCAATGTTTATCATTACTGACACGGCACGACTTCCGGAGAAACCTTTCATGTCTCATAAACCTCCCTACAACTCGGTGAGACCGAGTTGGGTCGAGGCACAACAATTAGCCTACGGAATTCACTTGCAAAGACATCAAAGAAGCTTCCAATGGCTGCTCATAAATTTGGAAAGTTTTGTAATCAAGAGCTGCTTCCTAACCGTGACTAAGGAATTCTCTATAGGAAGGAGACAGAATTTAGGATTAACCCGAAATTCATCCCCTGGACAGAGGTACGCAGTGTAGTGCCACAATGCACAGTATTTGCCCCTCTTCTACTCATCTTATATATCAATGAACTACCTGGGCTAACCGAATTTTCCGTGGCTCTCTACGCAGATGACTTAAAACTTCGGAGGAATTAGGGATGATAATGATAAAATTATGTTGCGAGATCTCAGAAAACTGTTAGATTGGTGCAAATAACGGATGGTCCTAACCGGCGTAGTTAAGTGGGCAACCATGTATACAAAGCACGTGAGCGCCCGCTCCCACGACAGCGGGAATGATACTTCCATCAGTTCAGGCTAATGTAGATGTAGGTGCCATGGTAAATAATGGCCTAAAACGACATGTTGTTGCGTTGTGATAGCTCGAAGTTTGAGGCCCATATGGGTAATACACAGCATCATTATTGAAAGTGTCCACCACTTTACACACATCTCTATTTAGGCGAAAAATGGGAAACTGCATTCAGCCCTTGTCTTAGGAGGATCCACCCATTCTGGAAAGGGTTTACAGGAAGGTCACACGTATCATGCTTGGTATGGCCAATTTACCACACGAAGAAAGATACAACAGGTTGAATCCCTTCTGCATATGGTACAATAGGCAGAGATCTCATCGCAAATTTCAAAATCGGTTCACTCTTCTCCATTCTGTGAGGTCGGGCAATCTCAGAGGATACGGAAACGGAGTCCAAAAGCCAAGGAAGAGCTACACTGTCATGCAGTGTTGTTTTTTGCCACCGAATCGTCAACTTCCAGAAGTTGTATCAGTAACCTCAACTGAATATTTCAAGAGGGAGTCAGTCATGCACAGATACTTATTAGAAAAGGATCAATGTAGACTTCAAGCCTTCTGTTATCAGCTAGTAAATCTGGAATCTGAAATGAATCCAAGTATCTTCTATTGATTCTCTGATCACGGGATAGCCTCGTGATTGGCTGTCCTGTATTGTGGGAATGTTGAACCTCTCCATGTTTTTAAGCAAAACATGTATAATATACCCACTGCACCACCTGTACAATCTATACCTGCGTTCTTAACTAAGCTAAAGCTGCTAGTAGACAATGAAGAAACAAATGACCTTATATACTGGGATCCGGTAAGCATATCTTTAGATTTTTAATGACTATTTAGCTTGGTGCAAGCTTTCATATTCGTGACGGGAATCGGTTAGCCAAAGAATTATTACCTCTGTACTTTAAACACAACAATTTGTCAAGCTTTATAAGACAGTTGAATATGTGTATGTAAACTTCTATTCATATTCGTGTTTTAGATGGCTTTCGTAAGATCAATCGCGTAGACCCAGCTTTACCCATGAAAGCTGATACTGAAGATATGGAATTTAGCCATCCTTTCTTCATTCGTAATAAAGAAAGTTTATTGCCTCAAATTCAAAGGAGAACTTCAAATATGGGCTCTCCAGTGTTAAGTGCGAGAAATCAGAATTGGGGTGTAAGACTACCTTTTACCCAAACCAATCCAGGTGTTAATGGCACAATAAATCTTTCATCGCCACAAAGGCCAATTACTGCGGGAGATTTTATGCGATTAGCTGAAACAGTTCGACACTTACACTGTAATCAAGAGACTTTAAACCAACAAATTGGTGTCTTAAAATCAGAAAATCAGCTATTGTATCGTGAACTTTCCGACTTACGAGAACATCATGATAAACAGTCACAACTTATTCAAACGGTAAGTCTTATGATTGCGAGTTATAGTTGCTTAGCTTTTCACATTTTTGTCAGCTTTTGCGAAAGAAGGAAGGTCAGCAAGCGTATGTATTGGACAATCCAAGCGGAAAGCTCTTCCTTCAATTGCATCTTCAAGTTCAAAATTTCAAAACAGAGGCTTGAAGCTGAACCTTCCACAAGGTGAGTTTCAGTTGTGGCTTAAGTCTTATAATTTAAGTTGGTTTTTACTATGATGGCAAAAATTTATGGACTGTGCGTATAACCCGGTCTATGTTAACTTTAAGAAATTCATATTTCAGATCAGATTCCAAAGTTGTTGATTAAGGATAGAAAGCTTGAAGCCTATGTTATTCCTTTTCCAGTAAGTTTCTGCGTTAGTCCAAACCACTGTTGAATGAATAAGTTAAGGTTGCAGGAACCACTTCCTTTGGGAGTCGGTTGCAGGAGTTTATGACTCCGTGGGAGAACAAGTACTCCACAGCAATATAGCCTCTCTTTGGCTTTTGAACTCTACTGTTATGTCCTCTAGGGTGTTCCGACCTGGTGGGAAGGAAAAGAGAGAATAGATCAGGTCCGTAGTCATTATTTAAGATTTTAAACATTGTGATTAAATCTCCTCTCTGCCTACGGTATGACATGGAGAAGAGATTTAAACTGTCTAGTCTTTCCTCGTATGATAAGTTAGTCATGTCGAGAAGCATACGTGTTGTCTTCCATTGAACCCTTCCCAGAATGTGTGAGTCCGCTTTAAGACAAGGACTGGCTGGCTGTCTGGATACAGTTTCCCAGTATTGACCCTACCAAGGATGTATATAACAGGGTGAAGACATCTCTGCGAATTGCCCATAAGGATCTGAAACTACGTGCAGCCATCACGAGATGGTGTGCTTTAGTTTTTAAGTCATGACTTACTATATCACCTAAATCCAAATGAGTGTGAATTGATGGGAGTGTTATTCCCTCTAGTTCGTAGGAGCTGATGCTTGCGTGTCCAATGCGTGTGGTTGTACGTTTCGCTGCATTAATCGGGAGCATCCATTCTCTCGACTACTCTGAGAATTCGTTGATGTCTTCTTGCAACGTGAGCGCATCACTATCGCCCTTCATCTCTCTCCAGTCTTCTGCGTATAGGACCATAGGGGAATCGGTGAGCAGAGATAACTCATTGATATACAAGATAAGTAAGAGTGGCCCAAGTACTGTGCCTTGTGGGACTTCGCCGCGCACTGCTTTCCAGGAGGAGAGTTTCAAGTTGATTCCGACCCTCTGCCTACTACCCATGAGGAATTCCCTAATCCAGTTTAGAAGGTTGCCGTTGATTCCAAGACTTTCCAACTTCACGAGTAGTCCCTTGTGAGGAACTTTATCGAAGGCTTTGCTGAAGTCTATGCAGTTGACTCCAACGGGTCTTCTGTTGTCCCTCGATTTGATTCAGGTTTCTCTCGCAGTGAGATTTGACAGGCAATGGAGACTTCCTCGGAAGCCTTGCTGTACTCTGTATAACAAGTTGTTTTCCAGATATGCTCTGATAGCTTTCTTGATGATTGTTTCCAGTGTCTTGATTAAGGTGTTGGTGAGACTAACAGGCTTGTAGTTTGAAGTACATTGTCTTGATCCTCCTTCGTGGATGGGGTTAGTATAGTGTCTTTCCAGTCACGCGGTGACACTTGTGACTAGTCTTATGTATTCAAATTTGAGTTCCCGTCCTACTTGATTCAATGTACAAATACGAGGGTTCTCTTAAACTAAGTGTCTAATTAGCTTCGTTACAAGTAGTTGGGTTAGTCAGGGTACTTAACAAGTTTGTAGTGAAGTGGCTTATTTTGCCTTCGATATTGTCAAACAGTCTCCAGACATCTTTAATCCCATTAAAAATACTAAGCTTACTAGCGCTGAAGAAATGAGCGTATTGTAACTGTCTCATTGGTATACCCCTTATAATCAAAGGGCTTAATGTTTATCTTAAAATTTATGTATTGGTGTGATTTTGTGTATTCAACTTATCGTTCGTCATAGAAAATTGGAGTAATGTTTGTTACGCATTCTTTGGAGTTTACATCGTATACCAGTAATTTCGTCACTAAAGTGGATATTTTCTTGCGTTCAGTCTTTTTTAAATCAAGCGATCAGGTATTCAATAACTGGTTCATTTTGCAAGTCACTGATACACTTTTTAAGCTCCTTGTTTATCGCTGCATGATGGAGTTGTTACATGACACAGACGTACGGTAGTGTTTAAATTATCCTAAATAGTAATTATATTTTTTTGTTTGGTTTTAGTATCTGTGTTTTTTGGCAGGTAAAAATAATTCGTTTGGCATTGTTAGATAATTCAGTATTGCTCAAGAATGCGGTTGACACTATTCCCCCCCCCCCCCCCACCACACATACACTAGTTCTTTAGCAGACTTGTCGCCTAAAATTGCTGTATCGTTACTCATATACTTAATCGTTCGTTGGTAGGTAGACTTTTACGCGAATGGTAGGCATCTGGTATGAACGTTGTTGTGGCTTTCTAGACATGTAGGACATTTGCAATAGAGGTTATTGGGAATTCGGATACACAATATGTTGAGGTTTTAATGTGTAACCTATCTAATGTCATTAGAATTAATTAAGAAAACAGCCGAAATAATAAGTTATTCCAAATTAGTGTTTGATACGTTTGCTCTGAAACCATTCTTACGATTCATTTGAATTAGTTTAATTTCCTACATGTATTTCAGCAAACTGTTTAACAAGTTAATAGTGTTTAACTGATAAAAATGTGTTGAAAATGTTATAGGTCGTAATAATTTCCTCTTGTGTTAACTCCATCCTCTCTATGGTTGAGTAGACTATATTACGGTTACAAATTGAATTCTTTTCTCCCTTTCATCGTCAGTAAATTGTGTCTTCGAATACTTCCTGTCGTGCTAAATGTTTGAACAGAGTTTTATTCTATAATTCTGAATTAAAAATCAGAAATAGAATTCACTAGTTGATGACTTTACTTTACTCTAGGTTTCCAGCTTGACAGGAGTTCAGTCCAACCTTTTCAGTTTGTTCAAACTGCTGATTTAATTGGCCCTACACATAAACGCCCAAAATTCGATGTACGAACTCTGTCTGCAACAATAGGCAATGGGAATGTGAATACAAATATGAACGGTCAAATTTCTGACATTGGTTCAGTTGTCCAAATTTTGCCTACAAATCTTCAACTCACTCCAGTAAGTCTACGCAGTGATGGGAGGTATGTATACTCTTTAACTGGATCAGCGCCTGAATATAATGGAAATTCACAAAGTCTGGTTAACACTGTTCCTGGAAACGTTCAAGAAGTGCCTATATACTATGTCACAAAGGTAATGAAAACTGATTACATTCTTGTTTGTTTATCTAAAATCAACTTAAAATGGTGGTTTTTTCTGACTCAATGGAGTTGTCCAGCTAGAGGTGATTGAGTGCATATTGAAGTTTGAAAACATTTCATTAACAAGTGTGTTAAGAATGACAGGTAGTAAGGAATTAACCTTTTGTATAGTTTGTAACAAGGAGGTTATTTCCTTAAAATTTAGTTAATAATTTATCTGCATATAATAAAACCCTTCTTATTGTATGAAAAGGATTGTCTTAAGCAAGAAGTTTCGCGATAACTATTGACTACAATCACTGTACAGCGAAATCATGTCACCGCTAATATTAGTGGAGTTCAACAAATTAAATTAGCATTCCAGATTACGATGAATACGGTTGAATTAAGTGCAAAGTGAAATACTAAGTCGCATCATCCTAGAGAGAATGGAAAATATGCACTGGATGCACAACTCCGCCAGATCGTCTGAACAACCTGGATTTAGGAAAAGCAAATAATGTGCTGATCAAATTGCGACTCTACGCATCATCATCCAACAGAACAAAGCATGGAATGCCAGTCAAACCTCCCTCTACCTCAATTTCGTCCATTTCCGAAGGGCCTTTGACAGACAGCGTTGACCGAGAAGTAATTTGGAGACTACTTCAACACTACGGTGTGCAGCGCTCCAAGTCTTTATCAACCTCATTCAACAGCTATATGACAATGCCACATGTCAGGTGATCCACAACCGGAAACTAAAGCAAGGCGTTCGATGTGAACACGGGAGAAAAACAGGCCTGCCTATTATCACCGATGATATTCCTAATTGTGATAAATTGGATTATGCGTCAGTGTGCGCGGGAGCGAGGAGGTAGGAGTACGATGAACCACCAATGAGAAGATTCTAGAATATATGGATTTCACTCATGATCTATGTCTAATATCACACAAACTCGAAAACTTGCAAGCGAGAACGAACAAACTGGCTGAAGAACAAAAGAAAACAGGACTCCGAGTAAACGTAGAGAAGGTGGAGACGAAGATGATGAAGATAACCAGCGAACAACAACAACAACAATAACCAGTACCAATCACCATCAACGAGAGGAATTTGAAAGAGGTTACATCCTTCACTTATCTAGGCAGAGAGCATCGTTTCAATTACAGGCAGTCGGAGCGGATGAACATGACAAAGCCAGTCAGAATTGGGAAGGAAAGATACACCTTCATCAACATGAAACCAGTTAGGAAATCTTCTCCACTCCGCCTCACCATCAAGAACAAGATTCGCATTTTCAACACCAATATCAAGTCGGGTCAGGAACTTGGCCGGCGTGTCACGAAGCAGATTACATTGAGGAAACCGTCAAATGACATGGCGCCCAATTCAGGCCATTGCTCAAGTGGAATCCAAAAGGAAAGCGACGAGTGGGTCGTCGGTGGTAGGGTGACATGGGGGAGATCTTGTGAATTAGAGGAGATGAGAGATTATGGGCAATCGTGAAGCCATCTGAAGAGGATGGCAGAAAATAGAAGGAAGTAGAAATGTGTTGTTGAAGCCCTATGTTCCACTCGAAACCCAAGGGAATATTAATAATATAATAAGTATAAGGAAGTAGTTAAGAAATATTCCCACATTAAGGTATCAGCGTTGTGCATCCCACTGTGTAAGTTAATTAGAGCTTCCCATTAATCTGTTTGTTTGTTTTTTGTATCAAAACGCTCGGTCTCGATTGTCATGTCTGCCTTGCTAACTGACTAGTGAGTGCCAACTAGCACGAAAACTAGTTTTAGGCAAGGCTTCTTGTGCCCGATTGTTTCCAACCACCTAACATCAACAATTCACACTACACCGTGATGGCCAGCCACCTGGTGGTATGGTGTGGCCACATTGCAAACTTGACTGACTGATATAATGTAGTCTGCAGCAAACAAAGGACTAGACACCATTACACTATTTATCCATTAACTAGTGTCTAATCAAAAGTAACTCGTGAATACTCTTCTTTACTTGTTTATTGGTTTTGTGTGGCCTGTGAGTGTATTGTATTATTATGTCGAACTTTACTATTTTGATTACGTGAATAGCAAGCACTAAAAGTAAATACCACTGCTTCCTAGTGTAAGTTTATATATCTATCTGTCTGAATTCTGCATAGAACTTGGCGCCGAAGTGCAGCAGTTCGAGTTGCCACTTCCCAAATAGCACACAAAGGTAGACAAGAAAACGAGTGAAGAGAATCAATAGAGTTTTGACAAGTATAAGAGTGAAACAGAATGAGTAATGGTGAATAACCACACTTGTATCTTGTATGCGTGTTTCTGAAACACAATATACATCAATGGCTCGGGATGCCAGTCTTGGCTAGTGATGCTTGTTGTCCTATTTGGCAAAGTGTCCTAACACTAAATGCTCCTATATGAAATTGGTGGTGTGGCTTTAGGAGACTATCCGTGGTTGTTTTTTGGCTTCCGTCGTTTTTTATGAACACAGAGTGAAGAGGAAGCGAAGAGCCATCAAGTAGAGGAGTTGCATCAGTAGAAGGAAGGCAAGATAATGGAGATGAAGATGAAGACAAAGATGAGTGAGGATTAGAGAGGTTTCGCGTGCATTTCGGATTGTGAGGGCGATTGTTACTTCCCGGCTGCCCACACCGTGTAAGTTGGTTGCGTGACCGCAGAGCCCAGGGGAAAAATTGCTTGAGGTAGGTCACACGCGGCCTGTTTTTGTTTGTTCTTTTTTATTTGGTGTGTCTCAGTAGCATACTTATCACTTCTGCCCTGTGACACGGGAGCAGGAAGCGCGGTCGTTGTTAATCCGGGCCCCGACCGATCCGGCATAATATTTTGTGATTTTGTTTGGGTCATAGCATTGGATTGGGTAACTTCTTTTTGTCTAACCTCTATCCAAACAACCTTTCTGGCATGGTAGGACCTCAAGCGACATAAGTCTCAGCCAGTATAGCTTGTTAGGTCATTGCGGTGTTCAAGCCCGACCACCAAGTCAAGGTAGCAGCTTTCGGTCGGGAAGTTTATATATATATATATATATATATATATATATAAGAGAGAGAGAGAGAGAGAGAGAGCAGTTATTATATTTGAAAATTATGAATTGTTCTGCATTGGCTACTTTTGCTTACTTTCTCGTGTACTGTTTTTATCATATGACTTTCTTCACCGCTAGGGTTGACTACTACTGCCGCTTCACATATTTATTTACTTCACGCTATTACTTGCTTCTTTTATTTTATTATATTTTGAATTCAAAGCTGGATGACAATGGAGTAGTATGCCAGGCAAATGCAGAAGACGTTCCTGCCAGACTTCCTGCTGACAATAATATTGGTGTTGGTGAAAATGTTGACACATCGATTTTAGAATTGAATTGGCCGTGTAACAGAACTACAACGCCATGTTCTCAAGCCGATTCTAACACTTTAAGCGATGTACTATCCGCAAAGTTGAATGGTGAAACAGACGAAAGTATTTGTGATTTATTTTTAAATTGTGATTCACAATCGGAGGCAGAAGTAATGCCTGATAGGCAACAGTCTCTCACAGAGTCATCTACCTTGAAGTATTCAAAGTTCGATCTGAATTCTGAAAATTTAGGAAACAAGTAAGTCTATTCTGTATATAATAATAATAATATTATTATTATTATTATGTCGTAGTCTCACTGTAGAATAACCATAAATTTGCTTAATTAGCGCTTTGTTCCAATAAAAGTAAATATCCAACTAACCACATATTTATGAGGTTTCTTTCTGTGTGTTGATTTGGTTATCTTTAGGAAGAAAACACAACAGAATCAGTCTAAGGGTGTAGCGAGCACTCCAGATTGTATTTCTGCATTTGCCGACAATGATTCTAGCTTTGTGTCTGCTAATCTACAAGATATTGACAGCCTTCCATGGGAAAAAGATCAAGAGAGTAGTTTTGACTTCAACTTGGATGAATGCACCATCCCACTTGAGAACAACTCACCTCTGGGAATTGATCAAACTCAAACAGAAAATTCAAATAGTTCTTCGAGTGGTTTCATTACCGGTAAGAATTAATTTTTACTATTTTATCACTTATTATTCTCTTGGGTTCCCAGTGGAACATAGGGCTGGCTTGAACAACACATCTCCACTTTGTGTTATTCTCTGCTGTCCTATTCATCTGGTTAACCACACGATTACCCATAATCTGTCATCTCCAACTCACACCATCTCCTCCATGTCAATCTCTCACCAACTACTCACTCGTCGCTTCATATTGGGTGTTCCACTCAAGAGATGGCCTGCATTGAGCGCGATTTTATTCATTCGATGGCCTCCTTCCTCAACGTATGCCCGATAAATCCATCTCCACTTTCTCCTACATATTTGTTGACCAATAGACTCTTGCGTGGTTCGTTCATTACCAGAGTTTTTACTGTCAATTCTTTTTGGCTGTTTAATCTTCAGTATGGAGCCGAAGGAGGGGCAGATGTTGATAAGAGTCTGTAGCTGGCTGTTGGAAATCCTTTTCGCGGCGCATACCCCAAGTTTCTGACCTATATAGAGGAAGTGACTGACTTTTTTGACATTTGTGTAGAAAATGCGAATCTTGTTCTTGATGGTGAGGCGGAGTGGAGAAGATTTCCTAACTGGTTTCATGTTGATGAAGGTGTATCTTTCCTTCCCAATTCTGACTGGCTTTGTCATGTTCATCCGCTCCGACTGCCTGTAATTGAAACGATGCTCTCTGCCTAGATAAGTGAAGGATGTAACCTCTTTCAAATTCCTCTCGTTGATGGTGATTGGTACTGGTTATTGTTGTTGTTGTTGTTCGCTGGTTATCTTCATCATCTTCGTCTCCACCTTCTCTACGTTTACTCGGAGTCCTGTTTTCTTTTGTTCTTCAGCCAGTTTGTTCGTTCTCGCTTGCAAGTTTTCGAGTTTGTGTGATATTAGACATAGATCATGAGTGAAATCCATATATTCTAGAATCTTCTCATTGGTGGTTCATCGTACTCCTACCTCCTCGCTCCCGCGCACACTGACGCATAATCCAATTTATCACAATTAGGAATATCATCGGTGATAATAGGCAGGCCTGTTTTTCTCCCGTGTTCACATCGAACGCCTTGCTTTAGTTTCCGGTTGTGGATCACCTGACATGTGGCATTGTCATATAGCTGTTGAATGAGGTTGATAAAGACTTGGAGCGCTGCACACCGTAGTGTTGAAGTAGTCTCCAAATTACTTCTCGGTCAACGCTGTCTGTCAAAGGCCCTTCGGAAATGGACGAAATTGAGGTAGAGGGAGGTTTGACTGGCATTCCAAAGCCTCAGGATGGTCGGGGGTGGGTGCCTTGCGCTGTGGGTTGGCCACCCCTCCGCACACCTCTTGAAATGCTCCCATATGACTGGGCGTCTTACATAGCCTCTCCTGAGGAAGTCCTACTCACTGCCTTCACGTGGCGGAGGTGTTTTTCACCAAAGTGAGAGGGCGAAAGCGGATGCCCGGCGCTCTTCACTGGGTTGACTGTCCACTGGATGACAGTCTAGGGGAGATGGCTAAACCCTGATTCCAAACCTCCAACGACTGGCGTATGAAGCTCACTGGAACTCACCGGCAGACGTATGGACAAAGGGCTTGTTGGATGTTCTGGATGTCTGGCCCCATTCAAAAAGGCGTATGAACCGAACTCCGGTCACCGGCTGCCAATGGATAGTGGACTCCCTACTCCACTCCTACTGCCTTGTAGGTCACACTTGGTTGTGTAAAGGCTAGAGCTGCACTCTCAAACAAAAGGCCGAGCGGTTCTGGGGACATCACTCGTACCAAATTCCCATGAAACTTCGTAAACTCTCTTCATCAGATCGCTGCGCCTGGGCAGTGATGATTCGAGATGTTCATGAAGCCGGCTCATCCTTCCGAAGGAGATAGCCGAAGCAAAGCAAGAAGCATTCCATGCTTTGTTCTGTTGGATGATGATGCGTAGAGTCGCAATTTGATCAGCACATTATTTGCTTTTCCTAAATCCAGGTTGTTCAGACGATCTGGCGGAGTTGTGCATCCAGTGCATATTTTCCATTCTCTCTAGGATGATGCAACTTAGTAACTTACCTTGCGTGGAAAAGAGCATTATTCTATGCCAGTTCTTGCAGAGTGAGGCGTAAGTCGCCCTTCTTTGGTAGTTTGACAAGGTAGCCGGTCTTCTCGTATTGTCAGTAGGGCAGCTTTCCTTCCTTCCAAAACTTTTGTAATAATAGCGTCAGCGTGAATTCTACTGGCACATAATTCACAAGAAAATGAGGTTAGCTACAATTCACTGAGGAGTGCGTCAGTGGCATAGCGGTTAGGACGCTCGCCTACCATGCGCATGGTCCGGGGTTCAATCCCCGGCCGAAGCACTCCTTTACCTCACTCAGCCAGAAGTAAAGCTGGTGAAGAGGAAAGGTTGGGCATGAGGCTAGCAACCCCATCCTATAAAAATAAAAACACTGCTACAGAAACTTCAAGCCTCTAGCTTGAAGCCCTATGTTCCACTGGGAACGTGAAGGAAAAAAAACAATTCACTGAGTGAGTTGTAACGGTCAATATCGTGTATAGAAAAAAAGTTTTAGGTATCTCCCGTAAACTTTATTGTGCACCCTAACTTTCAACCAAGTTGAATAGTGATAAAATTTTGCATAATTTTTCAGTGTTCAACAACCTCCTGGTGCTTATTAAGCTAAATCAGTTTATGCTGTTTAGCTGCTACTTCCATAAATCGATGACCCTACACCAATATACCACTAAATTGTGATGGGTTCAGTGGGATGATGTATATGATGTCATTCCCCCCCTTCCACTTGTTGTAAACTCTTGGAAAGATATATAGGCTTTGAGTTCTCAATGCCTAAGACATCAGTTGCATAAAACTTTCCGATTTCCCAGTGGTTCTCCAACCGTGATGTCAACTACTGATCAAACTTGTAACACCAATCAAATCCCTGCTGCAAACCAATACTTGATGGTAATAATAATAAATAATCTGATGCTCACTAATGGCTGCTTCTGTACAGAATATAGTTATCTGGAGTTCTGTTGAGAAGTTGTGACCATGGGGGGGGGTCACCAAGTCAGGTAAGAGAACTGTTACTCGCCAATGATGCTGTTTGGCAGTGGGGGTTATATATTTCGGGAATCGGTGGAAGTTGGGATTCATGCGATGGCTGTCGGATCGAATGCCAATGGCCAAAATTTTTATTAGAATTTCGAGGACTCCAAGCAAACTGGTAGTCCACACCTCCTTACGTGACTGGCTGGCTGGCTGTTTCAAACTAACTGTCAAGGTTTTCATTGACTGATTCCATCTTTTGGTTTGACCACCGCTGCCAAGCTCTTTTCCAACTTGATTCCATGTCAGCTAATATTTCTTGTCGTGGAAGAAGAATGATTAGGAATGCACAACACAATGTCGTAGCCATCTCAATATAATGTAACTTCAAAACCTCATAAGTTGGCCTTCCCTCCTTACCTAACCTCAATAATACTCACCCCATCGTACCACCTAATACGGGAGATAGAAAGCAGACACACCTAGCCTTTCCATATCTTCTACTTCCAATGACCATATCTCTCATCCAGTCATTAAAGAAGGATGGAGCGAATTACTGCTGAGCAGTACACACGTCCTTCGATCGATAACCAGCGGGATAGCACGTCTGCTAAGCCGCCGAGCGATGACATAAGCTAGTATTCCGTGGTGAGATTTCGTCAGCAATCAACTTCCAAGATAAGTGAAGTAGTCAACACACTCTACCACTTCACTGCCTATCGGCATGATATCAGTCAGTGTATTTCGGTCCTCTAGAATCATCTTACATTTGACAGCATTAGTAAATTGCACGCCATAGAAAGCCGCAAGTGTTTACCTAACGTAATATTCTGTACTTGGTCTATCCACCTTCAAATCGAAATGATATAATTGAAAAAAAAAATTAGCTCACTTGATGGGAATTCAGGTCACTATATGCCTAGTAATAAAGTTGACTATTTTTGCATATTTAAGTGAGTTACCAGCATGGAACCCAAGAGGACTTCCTCCTAACAACATAAAGAAAGTCCGAGTAAAAAATAATATTCTCCTCGTTACATTCCTCATCCAAGTCTACAATTCTCCTTATGTATGCATTTATATATCTACACAATGGTCTAGAATAATCGTTAACAGTAATGTGGGTGTTTTCATAGAAAAGAAATATCGATCGCCTAAGATCAGTGGAAATAATGTACAGAGCAGTTGAAGAAAGATGCGTAGTTTATAATTTGAATAAGAAAATGTAATTAATAAATACTAAACCAATTATGAGATAAAATTAAGAAGGAAATTTATGCAACAAAGTTAAGGATAGTTAAAACATTGACAGTCAGGCCACCAGGGTAGGAAAAGCGTGTAAAGCAATTTCTTCTTTTGTCTACATATACATACCTAAGTCAGGCATTTCTTAACGTGGATTCCAACGGTTTCAGCGGTGCTTCGTGTAACAGGCGAACTCTTGTAAGGCAAAATTTAGATTAGTCAGAATAGGATAGATAACTTTAAATGCTTCATAAATTTATTCCCGTTTATTGAATTTGAATAAAGCCAGAAAACAGTGGAGGTTTGTGCAGAATAAGAAGATGGGTACCATCATTGTTTATTTCTTTCGTTGACTTCTTATCAGCTCAGCCGCGCACAGCCTAAAGACCATTATTAAGCTTGTATACGAATTTACATGTATCTGCTGGAGCAGCTACATTGGGAGAAGAGGAAGGGGATACCTCAGATTTTCTATACATGCAGGAAAAAGGTTACATCACAAGGAAGTAAATGCTTTGTTTGAACAGTGCCATTGCCAGTCATCTCCTTGATATACATGAGGTCATAAGGTGAATGTCTCCAGATCCTCCAAAATTATCAGTAGACAAAAAAGCTCAATAATCTCTAAGTTTGCCGCAGCAATCTCCATCAAGCACCTGAGACCCAATTTATGCTATCAGAAAGAAGCGGTTATCAGTCTTTCCTTGCCCTGCAGCCTGCTAGCTGGA